AAAAAAAAAAAAAAAAAAAAAAAAAAAAAAAAAAGGTCGGCCGGCGAGCGGCGGAGGGCGGCAACAGGCGCCGAACACGCGTCGACCGTCGGCTGGAGCAACGCAGCTCCAGCGAGGCGACGACACGTGTCGCCTACAGCCGGGCCGAACCGAGCCGGACCGGCCGACCCGCGACTGCGCAGAAGCGGGCGCGCGTGCAGCCTGCGACTGGCCCCCTTCCGCGGGCGTGACCTCGCACTCCCAGCGCGCGTGGAACGGCCATTTTGTCCCGGTTGCTCTCTGTTTGCCCGATTTTTGTCCGGGTTCCAGTTCTAATACTCTTTTTACGTGAATAGGGACCTAATTTAAAGAAATCAGTATTTATGGACACCTCACGGGCAAAGAAACGCTAGCAAAAAGGGCACGCGTCAATTAGGTAAGTCACCACCCGGTATTTAGGAAGAAATACTTGTAGGATTCGCTTGGATTGCATGCATGCCAATTGTTTTGCTCCAGATTAACTCTCCATGTAAATTATTGGTCAGATTAACGGTTATGATTGTATTGGGTGAATTACTTGACAGTTACTGTATGCTTTAAGCTTCCGCGGGATGTACACGCGTTTAATTTAGGTTGGAATTGTGTATATCGTGTTCCGGGTGCTTGATGGATGAATTCACCCCATTGAGCGAGAACTTCGTGCTCTGGGTGCTTGATGAAGGTCATCGCCTCGTTAAGCCGGTATGCCTAGTTTGCATGAATTATATAGTATGATGTTAGAAGACGATTGCATGCACACTCTGTTAATTGCTATGGCCCATTTCTATGATAAGCTTAGGGAATTACTGTTAGGAGCGATATGTCGCTCCAACTAGACTTAATTTTCCCCTAGGAACTTACCACGACAAGAAGGTACCTCGGAGTGTTCGTAGATTGCTAGCGTGAGAACGGTATCTGTAGCTTCGTAGGAGGACCAAGGGTCCCTGATCAGTCCTTAATGTTCTTAGCCATTTTGCATGGGAAATGTGTCTCCACGTCGTACAACCCATTAGCTGCATGGGAACGGGTTGGGTCACGCCCCCCATAGGGGGGACTATATGGGCGTAGGGGTATTCAGCACACCCCTAGACTAGGTATCATGTAGTCCCAGATAGTCATGTAGAGGTAGCACCTCATAGAGAGATACCGGCCATATTAGCTTGACGTAAGGAACCTCTAGGCGTTTAATGAAAGGACGATGAACCGGTGAAACCCAAGGGGCAATCCCCAAGGGACTAAGATTAGAACCAAATGTCCTAGAACCGAATTGGGAAACCGTGAGAATCTCTTAAATTAAGATGCAAAGAGAGCCTACGAGGTGGCTTACTGAGTATAATTTTTATACTCACTCATTTCTACTTTTTTTGTCAGGTGTCAGTCGAGGTGGAGGAGCGTTCGAGAGCTATGTGGTCACAAAGGGGGTCGTTCCGGAGCGTCAGTCCCTTGTCGATCTTTTAGAGTCTTTTGTATTTTTCTTCATAATTGTATTCCCCGTTGGAAATATTTGATTTTAATTTTGTATTTGCAAATTCGTTTTATACTTGTATTATATTTCCTTTTTGTAAATTTAAATCCTCTTTTGAAATATTTTAAAAAAATTACACTTGCTTTTTCTATTATAATTTTATTGAATTTTCATCTCTTTATTTTTACTCTTATTTTTATTTTTTTAAAATTTTATTTGTTTTCGATTTTCGCCTGATTCGGTTTTTCAAAGCCTCGAAAATCTGGTCAGTGACATAATATATTCCACTGGAAAACAACATGTACGACTATAACTAAGTCCGAAATTGAATTTGGATAAATGATTTATTTATTTAGTATTTTCAATTTTCTTTTCTTTTTTTAAAAAAGGAAGTGTCCGGATTCAGTTTGAGAGGACATTAAGTTCATGTCCCTTTTGCCTCCAAATCCACTCTACAACTTTTATCCATTATTTATATAATACAAGACAAATTCGATTAAAATTCATTTTTAGTTTTTAAATTTTTGTCGTTTCTAAATTTAGTTTATTTTATATAATTTAATTATTGGACATCAAATTAATTTATAACGGATAATATTATAAACATTTTTAAAACAATATTAATAAAATTAAAATATTAAAAGTTGGAAATTATCAAAACAGAAAAGGAAGGCGAATCGTTTGGAGCCCACACGAGTGGGACAAATCAACTACTCCGACGCGGTATCATGCGGGCCTGTAGTGGGCCGACCAATCAAAACGGTGGGAGGGGAAAATCGGTGGGCCCAGATCCAACGGCTCCCAGTGTACGATCATGAAAAATGGTGCACGCACGAAGCAGCTAAGTTGTCCGCACAGAATAAAAAATTAAGAACTGTCTAGAGACAAACGGACCAATGAGCAGATTCGGTCACAGCCAAGGTTGGAAAATCGCTGCCCGTCCTCGAGTCGGTGAAAGCTTCTGTTCTCGTCTGTTTGAAGCCAGCTATTTCACCAACTGCCCAACCGCTTCCCGCCAAAGTTTAGGTCACGGTCACGGTCACTGTAACGGCCCCACTATGTGCCTCCAAATTACCATTAATATTGCCACCTGGCCGCGTGTAACGCAACCATGATACCATCGGATTATTGTCATCTACGCTTGTGGTCTGGTCGTGTTTCCCACGCGCACTATAGGCAAATGGGGTTTGTAACTCATCTCATAAGCACAACGCAAATCACGTGAGATTCTTACAGGTTGGAGGTGGGCCCTGTCTACTAGAAGACATTGAGATCACCTTTTATGTTCTTATTTGTAGCACACAAATTATTGACCGTCAAGGTTTATTTATAAAGTATATTAATCAGGATGTAAATCGAAAAAATTAATAATTTTTATAAATTAAATTGTGATATAATATTATATATTTAACACGTTTACTTTGGAGTTAAACATTAAAACAAATTAATAAATAATAGTATCATTAAAATATATTTTAAGATGAGTTTATGGTATTTTAAAATTTTAAACTTGGTTAACTTTGTCATATCATCAATTTAATTTAATTTAATTTAAAAAATTTGTCACATCATCAATAAATATCACAAATTATTGCTTTTCAAAAGTTTGATTTGTAATAAATATTTGATTAATACAAATTTAACTAAAAAACAAATAAATAAATAATAAACTAAAATAACATACATGTTAATATTATTAACGGTAAATAATTTTGTAATTCGGTAACTTGTTACGTATGATATTTTTATTTTATATGTTTAAAGGAGTTAATCTCAGCCGTTGGATTTTGGCAGCATGAATGGAGTAAAAAAAAAAGTGTGGGACCCACGTACGATTTTAAAATTAATTTTAAGTTGAAGTTGCGTGAAACAGCTTTAGCCTCACTGTCATGTGCTTAATTCCTCCACATGAAAAGGAACACACTTAATCATAATAGATTAATTTTTAATTACTTTTTATATTTTGCCGAATTTGTGTCGAATAAAAGTAGATTAGAAACTTTAATTAAGGTGTAGCATGTCTTATCCTTATTATAAATATTTAAACACACTGGATTCGAGGGATTAAGTATAAATTTAATTTCTTTTTTATAGATACGGAAAACATGTACTTATAATGCTGTTTCTTTTGGATATTTTTAATATTTAAGCAACTTTTGTAAATTATTGTCATAAATCTTTTAATAAAGTTTTAAAAGATGATGCCTAAGAGAAAAGCATATGAAATGATAATAATAATAATAATAATAATAATAATAATAATAATAATGTTTTTCACGTAGTTCGTCGGCTGATTCCTAATATGTAATAATGAGTAGAGTGAAACGACAATTGAATCCAATTTGATCCATTATTTTTATTTTTCGTATTCCTAATGTGAGATATCACATTGATTGGAGAAGGGATCAAAATATTTTTATAAGAGTGTGAAAATCTCTCAGCATTCTAAAATTGAGGGAAATCGAAATAGAATAATATATCGGAGTCAGACATCAGGGTGCCATAAGAGAGGTGGAGAACGAAACATTTCTTATAAAAGCGTGGAAAACTCTCTCTTTATATTTGAACACGATAAATTTAAAACTATTTTCGACTACTCTATCACATTAATATTATATTAATTAACCCAAAAAATGATTAGGAATAAAGATAGGTAAGATTCATGGCATTGCAATAATCCAAAATTATACAAATAATTATATCCAATCCTTGAACCCAACAACCTTAACATTTATGGAACATCTCCCTAATTTGATGGAGTGGGTGATCCGAGTTTTTGACCCGACCCGGAAGTCGGTGCAATTATTATAAAGTTGAAAATTTCATGGTGATAGTAAAAGCATTTATTAAGATTGTTATGTGATCCCATCTATCGGTTTAGGAGTCTAATTCACTCTCTATTTTATTAATAATGTTCATTTGACGGCTTGGAATAAACATAATCACTTCATTTATAAACCTTTTTATTTTATTTTTTTCACATAAAACATGTGGTTATTTCTTTTCTTATTATTTTTAAAAAATATAATTATCTATGAGTCTCGTTGCCACTGAATTTACATCCAATGGTTATTACGAGTCGTTGCCACTGAATTCACATTCAACCGTTATTACGAGTCTGTCACAGTTAATTAAAATTAATTAAAATGGTGAATGACAGGAAGCTTCCCACAAAATAAATTACTAAAAAAAAAAGGAAAAAGAAAACCTTTTTTTTTCTTCGTATATAAACCCCAAACACTCCCTTTCTTCTATCTGTACTCTCCCCTTTTCAATTTCCGTACTTTTCTTTCCCAATTCCCCCAATGAGCATTCATCATTCCTCTTCCTCTCCTTCCACCTCTGAATCATCCTCTGATGATTCCTCTCTCTCCGGCAAACTCCAGCCGTCTCGAAACTCCGGCGACGCGGATAAAATCAAAGGCCCATGGAGCGCCGAAGAGGATCGGGTCTTGACCCGACTCGTCGAGCGCTACGGCCCCAGGAATTGGTCTTTAATTAGTCGCTATGTAAAGGGCCGCTCTGGAAAATCCTGTCGGTTACGTTGGTGCAACCAGCTTTGCCCCGGTGTCGAACACCGTCCCTTCTCTCCGGCTGAGGATGAAGCCATCATCGCCGCCCATTCCCGTTACGGCAACCGCTGGGCCACCATTGCCCGCCTCCTCCCTGGCCGGACCGATAATGCCGTCAAAAACCACTGGAACTCCACTCTGAAGCGAAGAGTTAGAGACCAGGGGAAATCCGCCGTTGATCATAGTTCCGACATCGTCGGCGGCGGTTCGTTGGTCGCCGTGGATGACGACCCGTTGACGGCGCTGACGCTCGCTACGCCGGGAATCGTTGCTGGAGGTGATGTGGCGGCGGCGTCCAACCGCCGGAGTGAGAGTCTACCGTCCGGGTTCTGGGAAGCGATGAGGGACGTTGTGGCCAGAGAGGTGAGGGAGTACATGACGACGACGTTTTCAGAGAATCGGGGATTTGAATAAAGTCAAAAGGGGCTAATATGTAATTGTATAATTTATGGATTTAATATTGGCGCTAAATTCTATATTCTTTGGTATTAATGGGAAAAAGAAAAAAAAAAAAAAAAAAAAAAAAAGAAAAAGGGAAGAAATCAAAATTTTCGTGGCGGCTCTTTTCGAAAAGTTGTGTGCGTCACAGGCTGTCACCAACGTAACCGGTCGCCGTTTATTCTTTTGCTTCGGGCTTAAAATAGAAAAAGAATAATAATAATAAAAAAAAATCCCCTTTTTCTTTTTCGATAATTTGGAACTTGTGAAAAATACATGCCCAACCATTTAATGCCACGTGGCAGACATTTGCAAGTGCGGAGTGTTGCTTTTGTGTGGTCTCTTGGTTCTGATTCGCTCATGCAATCCATGCAAAAATTAAGTGGGCATAGAATAAAGGTTATATTATTATTACTATTGTTATTAAGGACTAAATTTTTATTAGAAATTTAAAGGATAGGTTTTGTTTATGATATTTTTTTTTTTTAAAAATGTATAACAATAAATAAAGTATTTTTAACAATTTTGTTATGAAATTGTGAAGTATTTAGATTATTTAAATAATTTTAACTAATTAAAATTTAGTTTAATTTTCATTCATATACCTTAAATTTTAGGTTTACCTAATAAATTATATTAAATGAGATATACTTATTAATCTTATACTAATTTATTCCTACAACAATAATAGGCCATAAATTTTAATTTAATTTTAATTTAATATGAATATACACTTGGTTCTAAAAGAAAAGAAAAGAAAAGAAGAGAAAGAAAAAGGAACAGAGCTTGCTTTTATTCCATAGCCATTAAAATCCAAAAGTGTCTCCCACTCAGGCCATATGGGCCTCGAACTTTTAAGCCCAAATTCCCAAGCCCAAATGCTCAGGCCCAAGAATTAAATCCAAGAAAGAAAAAGTTATGTTTTTTTTTTTTTTTTAAATATTTATTTTTGTTTTCTGGCTTTAGGTTAAAGAAGCACTCTAGACTTAGAGTTGACACAGTAACAGTAAATCTTTTTGCCCAATCCCCACGCTAGGACTTGGTAAATTCTTCAATTTTCTTTTATTTTTTTTAAATTGGTTAAAAAAATTTAATTAATAAATTAAAAATTATCTAAATAAACTTACTAGTCTTTCAAAATCTTAAAAATTTATTACAAAAAATAAAAAAAGCGACCATATCAATAAAATGGGTAATTTAATCCAATTTCTTAAATAAAATAATTTAAAATCAAGTATTGATGAGGAATGGGGCAATTTTGTCACGTTAGAAGGATAATTTCGTACTTTTGATTAAAAACTGCTCGAGACGGAAGTTTAAATAACGAAGAGCTTCAGAGCCCTGTTCCGCCACGGCTTTCTGCTGAAGCTTCAACAATGGCGGTTACTGACTTCTTCGTCGGAGAGATCGCGACTGAGCTTCTCAGAATGATGGTACAACTTTCCACAAAATCCTGCCTCTGTAAAACGACGGCAGCTCACATCGCCAATTCCATTCAACAAATATTGCCGATTATTGAGGAGATAAAGTACTCGGGGGTTGAATTGCCCGCTCATCGTCAATTTCAGTTGGATCGCTTCAGCGAGACTCTCAGAAAAGGCGTTGAGATTTCCGAGAAGGCTCTCCAATGCGGCCGATTGAACATTTACAGAAACTTGCAGCTCGCGAGGAAGATGGAGAAGCTCGAAAAGGATATCGACCGCTTCATTAACGGCCCTATGCAGGCGCATATACTGGCCGACGTACACCACATGAGATTCGAGACCACCGAGCGATTCGATCGGCTCGAAGGAAATTTGCTGGAACGGCGGCTCGAGTCAATGAAGATTAGGGCAGACGGTTCGGGAGAGGGAGGGTGGTGGATAGAGGAGGCGTTTAAGAGGGCGGAGGAGGAAGAAAGCTACGAGACTAATGTGCTGAATATAGGAATTGGATTGCGTGAGGCGAAGAAGGAATTGAAGGAGCTGGTGACTGGAAGGGACGATTTGACAGCGGTTGGGATTACTGGACTCGGCGGTTCGGGGAAGACGACTTTAGCTAGAGAATTCTGCAAAGATCCTGAAGTTCGAAGTAAGAAAAGTCCCCCATACTCTGGTTTTATGTGGATGTTTTTAATTAGTTCTGTATCTGTTTAATTTCCTGATTTTCAACGTGGGTTGTTTCTTTTGCCCCTTTTCTCTCGTGTTGTGGAATGCTTCAAATTTACGCTTCAAAGCTAGTCGTTAATACTATATCTGTTTGGTTTACTGACTTTCAAGCAAAAGGGTTTAGAGAACTTTCACTACAATGGAAAGTTTGTGTTAATGAAGTGAATAGCCGTTAAAATCTCCATTGGACGCTGTAGCCTTAAAGGGGTCCTTTTGGAGTGAATATTTATAGACAGGAATTGTCGGATTCTAACTGTTGGCACCTTTCCAGGTTACTTTAAAGAGAAAATATTGTTCTTGACGGTGTCGCAGTCCCCTGATATTGATCAACTGAGGAGAACGATCTGGGGTTATGTAATGGGTAGCGATAGTTTGAATGCTTATGATCCGATTTCTCAAGGGAGGCCTGCAAATTCAGCTTTAGTGGTTCTGGATGATGTGTGGTCAATCTCAGTTCTTGAGAACCTCATTCCAAACATTCCTGGCTGCAAAACTCTTGTGGTTTCTCGATTCAAATTCTCTGAGGTTCTTCGTGCTACTTATGAAGTAGAGTTATTGAGGGAAAGTGAAGCAGTTGCTCTGTTTTGCCACTCTGCTTTTGGGCAATGGACCATTCCTTTCACTGCTAATCACAACTTGGTCAAACAGGTAAGGAACGCAATCTTTCTTCGATTGTATTAGACCCATGCCAATTATCTTCAAAACGTCCAATTTGGTTGTTTTCTTTGAAGGTTGTGAATGAATGCAAATGCCTGCCTCTGGCTCTTAAAGTCATAGGAGCGTCTCTCAGAGGACAAAGCGAGATGTTCTGGAACACTGCAAAGACCAGGTTGTCGCGAGGTGAGCCTATTTGTGAGTCTCATGAGAACAAATTGCTTCGTAGAATGGCAATCAGTATTGATTGTCTCTCGAGTAAAGTGAGAGAATGCTTCCTCGATTTGGGATGCTTTCCCGAAGACAGAAAGATTCCTCTTGATATTCTCATCAATGTTTGGAAGGAGTTACACGATCTTGATGAAGAAGAAGCTCTTGCTGTCCTGTTCGAGTTATCTCAGAAGAATCTCCTTACTCTGGTGAAAGATGCACGGTATGTTACTTATTTAAGTAATTGTTGTAGACATTAGGCTATGTCGGCTAAATGCTTGATTGGTTGATATGCAGCGGTGGTGACTTTTACAGCAGTTATTATGAGATGTATGTCACTCAACACGATGTCTTGAGGGACATTGCTCTTCATTTCAGTAGCCGGGAGAGTGTAAATGACCGCAAGCGATTGCTGATGCCAAAAACTGAAACGGAGCTTCCAAAAGAATGGTTAAGGAAATCAGATCAGCCATTCAACGCCCAACTGGTTTCTATTCACACAGGTAACTGATTGCTAACTCTTGAAGACAAATAGACTTGTAAAGATGAGCAACCTATAGAGAATTACAATGTCAAGTTAATGAGTGTAAGATCCCACGTCAATTGGATAGGGGAACGAAACATTCCTTATAAGGGTGTGGAAACCTCTCCCTAACAAATGCATTTTAAAACATTGAAGAGAAAGTTCAAAAAAGACAATATTTGCTAGCGTTGGGTTTGAGCTATTACAACGAGAGACTATAAGCTTTTTATACTCTGTCCTTAAAGTTCAAGCTCATTTTCATTATGCATTCATGACATAGGGGAAATGAAAGAAATGGATTGGACGCAGATGATATTTCCCGAGACCGAAGTGTTGATTCTAAACTTCTCGTCGAGTGAATATTTCTTGCCTCCTTTCCTTTGCAACATGCCGAAGCTGAGAACACTGGTTGTGCTAAACAACAATGCAGCACATGCAACTCTCAGCAATTTTTCTGTTTTTTCTAGTTTGACCAACTTGAAGAGCATCTGGCTGGAAAAAGTTTCCATCACACGACTAGTAGATAATTGCGTCCCATTGAAACATCTGAGGAAGATATCTCTTGTTTTCTGCAAGATTAACAACAGCCTCGACGAGTCGATGATAAATGTATCGCAGATCTTCCCGAGCCTTTCGGAACTCAAAATCAATTACTGCAATGACTTGGTTAAGCTACCTTCAAGCATTTGTGAGATGCAAAATCTCAAGTGTCTTTGTGCCACCAACTGTCATAGTCTGAGCCAACTGCCATCCAACTTTTGGAAGCTAAAGAATTTACAAATCTTGAGGCTTTTTGCTTGCCCACATCTCACAACTCTACCACCAGGCATTTGTGAACTCTCTTCTCTCAAGTACATTGACATTTCTCAATGTGTTAACTTGTTCAGACTTCCTGAAGAACTTGGTAAACTGGCAAACTTAGAGAAAATTGACATGAGAGAATGCCCACAGATCAGAGGACTACCCAGATCAGTTGTGTCCATGCAATCTCTCCATCACGTAATCTGTGAAGAAGACGTCTCGTGGGTGTGGGAGGATTTGAAGAATCACATGCCTAATCTCTACATTCAAGTGGCCGAGAAATGCTTCGATCTCGACTGGCTCAACGATTGATTATCAGGTTTGTTGTTATTACTCTTTTTATGTATACAACTTTTCCTAATCTCAGAAAGTAATCAATTGTATGAACATTTTAAAGTTAAAGCTCTTCATGATCCACTCTTCAATCTCTTGCTGAAGAACTATTTTCATGAAATTTAGCAAAATGAAAGTAGATTGCAATAAAAAAACATGTTCACACCATAGCAGTTGCTAGGAACTCCAAGTAGATAAGATGAAAAGTAGCTTACTCCATGGCAGCTTCTAGGAAACTACCCAAATACAAGAATTTTGAAGTCACTATAGCCATTGACGAATTGTATGGTCTACAAACAGGGCTGCCCTCATGATTTGTATTTATCTGTTTGGTGTTTGGAGAGAGAGGAATCTTGAAGCCTTAGAAAGCGACTTAGGACCCTCATAGTCGTACTCAAATCCTTTCATAAATATCCAGAAACAACCAATTCGACAATTTTCTTCCACAGAAAGACAAAACTTGTAAAATGATGGGAAGTTTCCTGTCACCTTCGCTTCGTTTGCTTCATAAACAATGAAGATAACAAAAAGGATTTTGCTTCACTACACTATCTCCATTAAAGACTTTTCTGAAGCTTTCACATTTCCCTGCAAATTCCATTAGAAAAAGGAGTCCCAACCCCAACCCTTTTTAGATGAGATGTTCATTTGATCATCCTATGCTCTCAACCTTTGAAATATCATTGATTGATCAATCAAAATGCCCCATTGCAAGAAAAAGAATATGAAATTAGTAAGAAAAATCTCTACTTGTTTGTTCGATTTTGGACAGAACAACATCTGGTTATGCCTGTGTAATTCTTTCATCACAGTACTATATAAACAAACACGAAGGAAGGCAATCATTTTCAGTGGAATCTGGTTGGTATATACTCGTTTATCCTTAGAGGAAGGCTATAAAATTCATCGTTTCTAACGTCTCCCTTCTTGTGTTGGAATGGTTTCCACCACGAGACTCCTCGGTCGTTGATTGAGGGCTTTGCATCGAGCGTTTGGTCGAGCAGTGTTCCGATAATTATGGCGATTGTTGGGGCGGATGAGAATATGGAGTTTAGGATATCGTTGAACTGCATAATAAATTTAGTTTTAACGAAACGACACAAATGAAACAGAAAAGTGAGTAGTTAATGAGTTCTTTTTTGCAACTGACCCATCCACCCGCTGTTTGAACCGGTCCACGACCATCTTGTGATGTGTTCGTGACAAAATACTGAGGTATGGAGATGCTGAGGAACAAGGAGAGGCCAATAATGTAGAGGTTTCTCATGGAATTGTTGTTAGTGAATTGCATGAATGAGATCCCTGTAGCAGCTGCAGGTAGGAAATGAAGGGGAATCAACAAAATTTCGATCGGAACAACAAGAACTGTGAACCATGGATATGTTGAATAATTAAGGAGAGAGGACTCACCGACAATGCCGAATAAAACACAGTATATAGCACCAAATATCGGTAAAGGAATGGAAGCAAAGAACGCACCGAACTTACCTGAAAGATGCAGGAAATGAGACGACAAGCACAGTATAACACGTCGGGAAAACTAATGTAATTAGCCATGAAAGAAAACGAAACGAACCAAATATGGAGAAGAAGATCATGAATGCAGTCGATATCTGCACAACCCTCCTGCTTCCTATATGTGTGAGTCCAAGAAGGCCAACATTTTCACTGCAAAGTCAGATGGGTTGAGTTTTGAGTCATGGTTCACGATTAGTGTACAAAAAAAGATAAAGCAAGGAAGGAAAGAAATTTCGTAATTAGAAAATTGTCCTACACTGATGCAGAGTTGCCCGCGATCGAACCAAAAATTCCCTCGACCAACAGTCCAAGACCCTGGCACACAGGAAAATCCGAACATATTTACACAATTTCATGGAAATAAATACGAGATAGAAAAACCGTGGTGTTCTACAAATATACCTGCAAACCGATACTTCTGTTAAAAATGTAAGCTGGAGGTGGGGTAGCACCTGAAAGCCGCGCGGCTGCAAAATATGCCCCAGTTGACTGCGCAAAAACAGATATTAAATGTCAAAGATTTTGGAAGCAACACCGGGATTTAGCTTTCGCTTGAACCGAAAACCGACCTCTGCAGCTGTAACAAGTGTAGCCCCCATCATGCCGAAAACATGGCTGGCACGAAATATCGGTGTTCCCCACTGAAATGGATAAGGGGCTCTAATCCTACACAAACGCCAGCAGAGATCGTTTCATTAGAAGAATAGGAAGAGTAAGTTCGTCTGAAATGTTTACACCAGAAAAGAAATTGTAATTCACCGTCACCCAAACATACCAAGAAGCAGACGAGATAAGGTACGAGCGATCTGTACGGCAACTCTGTTTAGTCACCTCCCGGACATGATTGTAAGCTCCAGCGACAGTGAGAATAGCAGCAAAAGCCCAAATGAGAGCAATGCAGATAAGCAGACCAAATCTCTCAACTACGATATCAACCCGATGATGGATACGCCTCAAATACTGCAAAATTGCAAACATTAACATATTGAATCGATTAGAACGAAACTAAGCATCCATACGAAGCCTAAGACAATGAAATTACCTGCTGGCCTACAACAAGGAGAATCAACATGGGCAAGCCAATCTCCACACAATTAGCAAGCTGAACATAGAACAAACCGCATATTCATAATTCTCGCTTGATCACTTACTTACATATCTAAGGGTTCGGAACTTTACCATTGGGAAGCCTCTCATAAACAGACCAAGACCGACCACGCAAACCAGAGGTACAATGACTACGGGACTAAAAAGTCTGGAAACAAAGAGGAAATCAATGATGGGAACAAAAAATTTCAAGCCTTGCACCATTACCCATGAAAATAATTGTTAGACGAGTAATTACCTGGTTAGATGCCCCCATGCCCTACTAAATCCAAGTATAATGTTTATAAATGAAGCAACGATCAACGAGCCTTGGATTGTTCGGACGGTATGGGTGAATCTCTGTGAAACAAATCCATTTAAGTTACCCAAAATAAAAAACTTTAATAGCCCAAGCCCACTACTAGCATATATTGTTTGGTTTGGTCTGTTACGTATCGTCGTCAGTCTCGCGGTTTTAAAACACGTCTAATAGAGAGAGGTTTCCACACCCTTACAACGAATGTCTCGTTCCCCTTTCTAGTCGATGTGGGATCTTAGAAGTTTCCACACCTTTATAAGGAATGTCTCATTCTCCTCTCCCCTCTCCCACCGATGTGAGATCTCAGAGGTTTTCACACCCTTATAAGGAATGCTTCATTCCCCTCTCCAACCGACGTGGGATCTCAAAGGTTTCTACACCCTTATAAGGAATGATCCATTCCCCTCTCCAACCGATGTAGGATCTCAAAGGTTTTCACACCCTTATAAGGAGTGGTCCATCCCCTCTCCAACCAATGCGGGATCTTAAAGATTTCCACACCCTTATAAGGAAGGCTTCGTTCCCCTCCCTCACCGATGTGGGCGCTTAGAGGTTTCCACACCCTTATAAGAAATGACTATTTCTCTCCTCCAACCGATCTCAGAGGTTTCCACACCCATACAAGAAATTATAAGAAATTTGAAAGTGTTTCCAATGGCTGCATTCAAGGGAAACACTAATCCATCCAACAACAGTTAACCCAATGCCGCTAGCTACATAGCTAAACATCAAATACCTCATGTTCATTTGAAAAGGTCTGATCAGAGAAATCCTTGATGATTGACAACACAGGTATAATGAATATGAACGACGGCCGCATCACCGTCGGGAGCCTCGACCCGAGAGCAGTTTGAAGTAAAGTATTCAACCCCGCAGTAAAAAGCAAAGTTTGAATCACTCGAGCTTTATCTTCCTGTCAACAACATTCACAGTTTCAAAGCATATCTCAAAATGGCGCACCAACTCTTGTTTACAAACAACACTAATCCAAAGCTCACTTACAGGGCTACCACCCATTCTAGGCACAAGCGTAGTGGCAATAAGAACAATAGTTCCAAGCACCACAATATAGTGCTGAAAAGCCAGCAAAACAGCTTCAGCTGCCAAATTCATGTCATCAAAACCCCTTCCGTATTAGAAAAAGTAAGAACTCAAAACATAAATGGATTGAAAGTGTTCGGTTAAAAAAAACACAATACAGAACACTTTAAGCTGACTAAAAACAAGTGAAAAAGGAGATTCGGTATAAAGAACAGCAAAAGGTCGATTGAATTCGAACTTTAGGAGATATTCTATAAAATTAGAGCAAAAAGAATAAGACCCATATGCCGATTGAAGAGGAAAAAGAAGAGAGATTGAGAAACTAACGCCAAGAAGGATTAGAGTGGATGCAGTAGTGCAACTGTTGAAGCTGCTCGGCAGGAGTCCAAGTGGGGCCTCGAGACATTGCCAAATTCGGCGGCGCCGCCGGCAAAGTATGGTGGTGGGTGGCTGCTGATTCCCCCATAAACTAATCTTCTCACCAGCTACTCTGCTAAAGCTTCTTCACAAGAACCAACAAAGATGAACTCGCCGACGCAGTGTTTGGGGGAAAAACAGAGAGACACAAGCCAAACCAAACCAGAACAAAACTCAAAACTTTTCCTTCGTTTTCTTTCAGATCAATAAATATTATAAACGCTAAATTCTGTTGTGAATCATTAATTGTGATAAACTTGAAAGAACGGGAAAAAAAAAAGGGAGTTTTTGAGGGTGAAGTGATGAACCGACTGGAGAAGTGAAGCTGGGGATTACGTTAAGGTCATCGTGTACATGCGACATTACGCGTGGGATCTTCGGTTTTCGAGGAGCTCGCATCTGGCCGGTCTAATGCTTCTTAACTAATTGCCCTTCTCTTTGCCTTTATTTACGATCATGCCACACTCTTGAGTAAGCAAAGATGATATTTTATTATTTTTTTTAATTTTTTCAAAAGGAGATTTGTTTTGGATCATTATTGAAGATATTTATATTTATAAACCAAAAAAAAAAAAAAAAAAAAAAAAA